CTTGCAGCTGTGTGGACACCGATTTGGTGTAAATCTACACTGCGAGAGTAAAATAACACCTCTGACGATCTTTTTACACTGTTTTGGTGTAAATGGGCTTGCAGCTGTGTGGACACCGATTTGGTGTAAATCTACACTGCGAGAGTAAAATAACACCTCGGAAGATCTTTTTACACTGTTTTGGTGTAAATGGCCTTGCAGCTGTGTGGACACCGATTTGGTGTAAATCTACACTGCGAGAGTAAAATAACACCTCCGACGATCTTTTTACACTGTTTTGGTGTAAATGGGCTTGCAGCTGTGTAGACACCGATTTGGTGTAAATATACACCAAATCGGTGTCCACACAGCTGCAAACCGATTTACACCAAAACAGTGTAAAATGATCTTCGGTGGTGTTATTTTACTCTCATAGTGTAGATTTATACAAATCGGTGTCCACACAGATGCAAGCCCATTTACACCAAAACAGTGTAAAAGGACCTTCGGAGGTGTTTTTTTTTTGTAAAATAACACCTCCAAAGATCTTTTTACACTGTTTTGGTGTGAACGGGATTGCAGCTGTGTGAACACCGATTTGGTATTAACTTACACCATAAGCGTAAACTAACGCCACAAATATTCGACACTGTAATCAGTAAATGACCGCTTAAACAGTTGTTCTGTAAATAAAAACAATTTATTGCAGATATAAAACTATGTTAGAACATAGTTAAAGAAAATAGACATGGTTTGAAAGCTCGACAAGTCATTGTTCTATGTTTACGGAACATGTTGTATTAATCAACGTTTGGGTAAATATTAATGCACAATTTAAATACAATAAATTGTATAACCGTTGTTAATGACTTTGAAGTAAGTCGTCTTTCCAAACCAAGTTTGTTTTCTATTACAGTATATGTCTATGGTTAGAAAGTACACTATACATATATACTACACTATACATATATACACAAACTATTACATAAAACTACTTATAAAGTTCGTTTAGGAAAACCAAAACTTTCGTGGGAACTTTGACACGGTCAAATAGTTTCAGGACGGCACGTTGTAGAAATAAAAAGGTATTGAAACACTGTTTTGGGTACTCTAAATTACAGATATAGTATATAAACATAAGGGACGATACAGCTGCTAAAATGTCATCCGCTTCCATTAAAACGCGTTTTTCGGCAGCAATGAAGATCCGGTTGACACTGCCATTGTTGTCTTCACAGAAGATAATATATGGAGACATCGGGCTGCTCGACTCTTTTGCCAACGCTTCTGGGTTATCGGCAGTCTAAAAAAATATCAAATAGGCTTTTAGTTAAATTAAATAGGGCGCTAGCGTGCGTAACCCCACACCCAACAGAAAACCATGCAGCAATTAACTTTCAATTGCTTGTACTATTGTTCCCAGTAAACTGCGAAACGACCGTTTCTTTCAGGCGATTTGTCAGTGACAGTTTTGTCAATTACGAGACATGTTTGTGTACCTCGTGATCACAATTTCTTGCAACCGGTGTGTGAAAAACTGCAAGTTTCAGTTTGACATCCTGGCAGTCAAAATTACGCACATGATTGGACAATAAAAAACTTGCAAGAAATTGTGATCACGAGGTGCACAAACATGTCCCTTGTAATTGACAAAACTGTCACTAACAAAACTGCCTAAAAAACTGTCGTTTGGCAGTTTACTGGGAACAATAGTAAATTGTACACCTTTTGGAAAAGCAAAAGCTTTGGCTATAAAAGCCTCATAAACGTAATTAATTAGATTGTAATTAAATATACTGTACGGGAATGGATTTACTGCCCCCAGGGGGGTGTGCTATTTCTGTTTTGTGTGAGGCTTTGACTAATGGCGATGAAGCAATGGCGAAAGCCTAGACTATGTAGGCTGCATCTGAGTTAAGTTTCCCAATCAATTCGTGCGCATGGATTATATATTGATGTAAAAGCTCTGGCAATTTGGGTGGGGCTGAATGAAAAAGTCTGGTGAAATTCGCCGGCCTAAACTGAAAACCCTGAGTGAAGGAAGTCGATGGTCCGGCGGCACACATGACCGACACAACTTGGCACCAGAGCTGGCAGAGCACCCCCCCCCTCCCCAGATCATGCTGGATCCATGCCTGATACTGTAACTGTAGGAATTCATCTCAATCACGAAAAACTTAATGGGAATAATGGCCAAGACTAAACACTTTTCAGAAGGGTGCATTGGCATGGTGAATGGACGTTTTTGTTTAGACTGAAAATATACATTGGAGCCAATTCATTAAGTTAAGTCAATCTATTCAACACATAATTTTACCTGATACAAGAAATTTTCCGGATGTGGGTTCTTCTTGGTTGGCCTCTCCAACAAATGTGGAAGAACGGACAATGCAACAACAACTTTTTCATCTAAAAGAAAAACGAAACGTATTATACCCACCCATTGCGAAGAAAAATGTACAGGGGCCGGTTGTTCAAAGCTGGGTTAGACACAAAATTCAAATCAAACTTCCTGACAGCTTGTCTATAAATTTGGAAATATTTCTTCAGAGATCTTGTCTGGATCGATAAGAGTTTACTTCTCTAAAGTTTTGCAATAAACAGACGTGCAGAAAATATACAAACTAAAACAACAGGTTAAATTTTAACCCAGGGTTAGCGCTAACCCACCTTTGAACAACCGGCCCCATGCCTTTATAAAACATTAAGAGGATATGCTACCAGGGCTTATATAGTATACCAGAGCTCAAAATAAGAAAATTTTGTACTTGACAGGTAAAATCCTTTTCACCTGCCATTTCTGAAATATGCATAATAGCCTTTGACATTTCGAGCCCTGACCAGCTGCTGTTTCAAGGCCAGAAACAGCAAGAACTCGGATACTCGTGCATGTACGGAACTATATTATTACCTAGAGAAACAAATCATTAATATTTAGCAAATACAATTTAAGCGAAATTGTGTGAAAACACTCCGCCCTCTGTGTGTTCCCACAAGTTCTCGTTTTCCCAATTTCTATTTGTGTTGATATAACTGTATATCAATGGAGAAAAAATGTTTTACATTTTTGTTATAATATAGCAGCAAGAAATATATAGAAATAAATTTTCCGGGTTGACACTCTTAGTCAATCGACGTTCAGAATTTACAAGTGCTATATTTTAAATTATTATATTGATAAAATTACTTAAAACAAAATAACTCGAAATATATATATGATTGATTCCTACCATCTGTCAATGTATCCTCTTCCTCTTCATTGTCCTCCAAACATGCCTCGATTAGCCCCGCCATCTGCTTGATCCCTCTTGACTGCGCCACCTTCAAAATCCGTGGTGCCAGTTCGTTGATGTTTTTGGAAATCATTTTAACGTTTTCGTCGGACACAAGTCGTTCATACTCATCCTGCAACTAAAAATATAGAAAACATACTTTCATTTAAAAGAACATAAGTAAATTACTTGCAGTGCCAATTAACCCACTCCCCCCCCCCCGGGACAAGTCAAATCATCTGGTGTTACACAGCAAAATCATAAACTAGGGCGCATCTCCACTTGGTTAAACCAAATAGCTGTTGTTATCTAACACTGCACTTTAGGCCTTAAAAGTACTTACATCAATTGCAATGCAGACACATTAGGAAAATATTGGATTCAAAACTGTGTGACGTATGCACTTCTAAGGTCCATTACTATCAGTACTAAAGAAGACACATACCTGTTCATGTTCAAAAAGGAAAGGATATGTCAAATCGATTTCTTTAAGGGACATTTTCCCAACATTCACCAATTTCCTTCGAAATGAGAATGTGAGCATCATTTTTTGCTTCACCAAATTCATGTTTGGTGTCTTCCTCTTGTATTCCTTTTGCATCCAACTGACATGAGCCCTATTGGTTGCCTCGTCCTCTCCATTAACTGCTGGGGGGTCCCAGTTGATGATCCCCCTTCTGCTGGTTGGGACTTTTGTTGAAAGCTCTGGGTCTCCAACTGATTTTCTCTTTCTGGCCAGAACAACAGGGTCGCTGGTTTCATTCCGCAATTCGTTTTTTACTTTATCCCCCAAATGGCGATACCAGGTTTCCTAGAGCAATGTTAAAATATTGCAATTAACCCATTGAGTGGCAGCAGTTAGAGTAAAATAATAAAGTAGGGCCCATTTGAGAGTTAAAGATTTGTTAAATAAACAAACTATAAATTGGCATTATTTTTTCGTGGCTGTGAGCGAAATTCAATAATGTGCCTGCAAGAAACACCGATTTTTTTACCTAAATATTGTTAAAATGTCAGTATTTTAAAAAGGCAAAATAAATAATAATTTTAATATTTATATAGCGCAAAATAACATTGATATATGACCAAAAGGTGCCTGCTCACACATTTTGTTGACACCTGGTTGGCATAAGATTTGGAACAAGTTAAATATTAACCCATCAAGTACATTGCATTGCACATTACTGTGCATTGTCATTTTAAAATAGATTAACAGAATGCATGCTTAGTTGACTCATTAGACTTAAATTGGAAAATTATGCAGATATAACTTACATAGCCTCCACCAACATCTGCCAAGAAAGGAAATGTTGTGATAATTGCTCTACACACATCTCGTCGTTGGTCAGGTGTCGGTGAACTAAAAATATAAAAAAAATTAGTTGGAAGGGTTGCAGAATAAAGCCTAAATTCTAACATACAAGAAATGACATTTCTGTACGAGTCTTGTGTCTTCAATGACCATATTATACCGGTGGCTGGCCATTATAACTTCTTGGCCACCTACTTCTGAAATTGCATATGAAATATTGTAAATTTGTAATGTAGCAAATATCATTAATTCTTGACCATACTTTTTATTCCTATGCTGTACAAATCAAATATACATACATGGTAAAAAGGCAAATCCTGTCGTAAATAGCCTGGATAAACTTTATACGAGCTGGCCTAGGCAAGCACACATTCTTCATCAGTGCCTCTTGAACCACTGGTGGAAAGCGTTCCGGGAGACTAAATGGCGTCACCCATGTTCGCCTTGTGCTTCCAGAACTAAAATGTGTTCAAAAATACTGTAATTAAATCAAATAGCAAAATAATACATACAACTTAATGGGGTTTAATAGATTCATGGGCAGGTAGCCTGAACCTAACGAGTGCCAGAATTTGATCTTTCATTAGAGAAGTAAAATAAGCTCGCCTGAAAAAGTCTCATGTAAACACAGCAAAGCATGCCATCTTGGGTAACAGGCTAGTTCGCCTCCATATAACAAGACCTGTGGGCCTATATTGAGGATGGGGCTTATATTCAAAGCTAACAATATGGGCAGATAGTCTGAACCCAATAGAGTGCCAGAACTTGATCTCGCATTTGAGGAATAAAATTATCTAGCATTACATAAAGTAAACTAATACACGTATGGCTTGTTGCAAATTAATGGGTTGTTTACTAGATGTGAATAGACAGATTTAGGTTGAGGACATGGACATCAAATACGACATGAAAATGGCATGTTGTTCCCAAGTATAGATAATCCACACCATTGACATCTGCAATCTAAATTTGTCTAATACAACAATAAACCTCTGATAATAAGCCTCAGGCTTACATTTGTTCATAAGCAATTGTAGCAATTTACCATTACTGTCGTTCCAATTGAAGTGTTGCTCAAATATTGATACAATACATTACCTCGGGCTGACCAATTCATTTGATCAAGTTCCTCGAGATATTCATACACTTCCTGTGAAAGAGCCAATTCCAAGTATTTGATCATTTCTGGTCACTTCCTTTCTATTTATGATTGGTTAGTTGTACAAACAACAAAAGTGATTGGTGCATTCAAACTATTCAACAGGAAGTTTACAATTATATTAGGAAGTGTATGAATATCTCGAGGAATTTGATGAAATGAATTGGTCAGCCCGAGGTAATATATTGAAAATATATTTGAGCAACACTTCAATTGGAGCGACAGTAATACATATTGTTAACATTATATACATATGTTAACAATATGTTTTGGGAAACTATACTGTGAATGAAAAGAAATATAAACACACATTAGTGATAGTACAACACATACTAAAGTTGATAGTTACAATATGGGCAGAGTCTGAACATAATGGTGTGCCAGAACATGGTCTTGCATTGAATAAAATTATCTGGCATTACATAAAGCAAAATAATACAGTAGGGCTATTGCAACTTAAGGGCTGTTTACATTGATGAGCCTGGTTAGTGGGGATGAGACGTAAGCCAGGCTGAAACGTCAACAGGCAAAAATTGGCAGGCGCCCCATTTAAGCGGGCCAGACTGGAAGTAAACCAGACTCATATAAACCTTAATGGGTTTACTAGATGTGAATACCATAAACCTTCGAATATAAGCTCTGGGCATATTATTCATTCATAAGAAATTTTTATGGGCTTTATATATATACCTGGGGGGGGGGGGGGGACGTATATACACATGTTAACAACATTTATTGGTAAACTATTCTGTGATCGAATAAAAAGAAATATAAACATACATAGTGTATAAACACATACTAAAGTTCGATAACATGGAACTTCTTCACACAAAAGTGCAAATTTCAAGTTTGTAAAAATGTATTGGGTCGTTCCGCAAAAGATCCACACTCCCCCCATAGAAGAATTTTCTGCCGTCCGGAGAGGCATTTCTGATATGAGTAAGTGTATTGGGACATCCAAAGGGGGTAGGGGGTTAATTTCCAATTTCCTCTGTGGGGGAGGTATGGATGTTTTCTGGAATGACCCATTCATCACACTATTTATAGTGCCAAGCTTTTTGGCAGGCTTCATGTAAACACAGCAAACTAGCAAAGCATGCCAGCTTGGGACCTTACACAAACCAGGTGGGCCTATATTCAGAAATCAGGAAGGGCCATATTCGGGAGGGTTTATATTCAAAATATAGTCTGAACCCAATGAGTGCCAAGAACTTGATCTGGCATTACATATTGTAAAAGAATACGTTAGACAGAGTAAGTTATTTAATATAATAATAATCACCTACAATGTTCAGTCAATACTAATACAATCTACATACCTCGACATTGGCGAAGAAGACCGCGGCAAATCTTGGCTATTTGGACTTTCCAAAGATTCCAAATCCCAACTAGACACGTTGCTACCGCCCGATGACCCAGAATCGCCATCATTTCTCTTCATTTGCTTTATTATTCTTAAAAGCTTCATCCTTGGCCCGACTTTGTCCACAAGAGACCCGAGCGCAGTTTCGGAAAGGCAAGCGAACGCTTCGCCGTCAACATCTTCATCTAGTTCGATAACAAAGTATAAAGAAAATAATCTTATTAATACATTTGTGGTGAATAATAGAAGAATGCATTCACAAACAGACGAGATTAATGATTATAAACACATGATGATTAAATACTGTAATAATAATTAAAATTTACAGCAAACTCACCCTTAAATGTATCACAGAATGCTTCAAAGCCGTTGGATTTAAGCCATTCTGAAACTTCTTCGGCAGTATATGTGACAGTTGGTATCTTATCCATTTTCTTCAATGAGATAATCGAGGATTTTATTTCAATATTGAGTATAATATATTAATTTAAAAGCGATATAAAAACACCTTGTCGTTTCAACACTTGCAATGAATGACGCCAATGTGTATGACTCAAATTTCAAAGGGACAAATAACAAATTTCATTGGTTGAATTTTCTGCAATATGACTGGTTTAGAATTGTAACATATGATTGGTCTAGGATAAGTTATCCGCCAGAGGTTATCCCACTGAGCCGTGTAATATAGTATAGGCTCAGTGGGTTACAAATGCGGACGTCTGCGAAGGCATTGATATGCTCAATCGTGATTGGTTATACAGTAGTTTTACTAGTTTATCAGCGGATGTGGTAATTTCATTACTACCATGGTAATTTTTCGTCATTTTTGGAGCATTGTGGTAATTTGAAATTTGTGGTAATTTACTACGGTAATTTTTGGAATTGTGGTTAAGTTATTAATTTGAAAATTCAAAAAAGTCAGTTAATTAAAGTCAGCTACTTTTGGTACTTTTTCCAGACCTAAAATTTCCAGACCTAAATTTTACAGATTTTGTTGAAAAACAACGGGTTTTATGGCCCATGCTTTAACAGGAATTTGTCTGGAAATTATTTTTTATAATATAGTAATTTTATGCAGCCGGATGTGGTAACTGCCCATGCATCATGTTAATTTAAATGTACAATCTGTTTCATCTGAGAGGAATCACCAGGTGAACCCCCCCCCCCAGGGCTGCAAAGATAAAGTTGGAGGCCTGGGCCAAATTTTTAATACAATATTTTTAAAACTATTTCTTCCCAAAAATGTTTGAGGAGGGGGGGTGGTGGGGGTGGAATTTTCCCAAACATATCAAAAAAATAGTTCAAAAAAATTTTTCCATGCAAACAACAAAACATTTTTCTGGACAAATACTTGTAATATCACAGCTAAAACACATTTTTTCGGACCAATACCAGTGAAATTAAGGTTTAATTATTTAAAGATTTCTCTCATACCATAGACGGATTTTGTGTGTGTGTGTGTGTGTGTGTGTGTGTGGGGGGGGGGGGGGGGGGTAAGCGGCAATTGATTCATTGAGCCGCACCAATCAGTTTGAATTAGGGTCAGATCCTGAATCTGTCTCCTGATTGGATTAAAGCTCTCTGATTGGTTATAGATGTTTTATTTGAATCAATCAGAGAGCTTTAATACAATCACTAATTCAAACTGATTGGCACGGCTCGATGAATCAATTGCCGCTTTCAACCAGAGGTTTATTTTCCTCTCCCTTTCCCAATGAAAATAATAAAAATAAACTTCTGGAACCAGGGTATATACTTGTATCGGAAACGTTCCAAATAATTTGTTTTTTTAATTAATTACACTTTTTGGGGCCCCCTTTGGCAAATTTTGGGACCCCCTTTAACTGGGGGCCCAGGGCAAACTGCTTTGTTTGCCCCCCCCCTCTCTGGGCGGTCCTGGACTCACCTGATGATTCCTCTTGGATGAAACAGACTGTTGAGGTACCAAAACAATACTATTTGCTCAATCTATTCTACCTCAATGATATTGAGCACTATAAATTGCCACTATGCACTGTAGTGACAACAGTCTGTTTCATCCCAAATGAATCACCACTCTAGATCAGCAAACCTTTTGAAGTACCGGTATATCAATATATAGTCTTAAGAATACAATCATAATATATAATGTTTCCACAATGTCTACAGCTACTGTGGATTTTCTGTTATAGCCTTGTATAAGGGATCCCCAAAAGCCATTGCATTCTGTCGTGTCAAGGGGGGAAAAGGTGGGTTAAAGTCATCTGCTGTGTTGTCCGAGTCACTAGAGACTATGATATCGGTGTCCCAACCACTACAATCAGGCATGTCCTCAGAGGGCTCAGGGGTCTGGGAAATTCTGTCCTTTCTCTTTTTCCTTTTCCTGTCTATTCTGGCCCTTTTCTGATTTGCCTTGTTCAGGGAAAGTTTAGAGAAATCTCTTTCCAACTTTCGCCTCTTGCCTCTCGATTCTTTTTGGCCACCAATTACTTTTTGCTGACCTGGTTCTAACTTTCGCTTCTTGCTTCTGGGTTCCTTTATGCCATCTAGTTCAAATATAAAATGGCCCTTATTAAACAAAATTGCGCCTTCTGTTTTGTTTTAATTCAAATAAAGCAGATCATATTTAATTAATATACTGTTGTACCACGTGTTTTGCACTCATGAATATTGATAACGTTTGTCGAGTCAATCATGAGTTTGGTGTATCGCATATCTAAATTCAGTCGATGTCAACATGCACGAAGCTACATACCTTGTTCACGTTTATCGTCCATGAAAAGAAAATAGTCGTAAAAGCAAAAAAATTCTGGCACTCAAATTTTTTAGTGATGTGAGACGTGCAACATGCGAAAATACGTGTCCGCCAGGTGGCCAGATATTTTGCAAGGCAATTACAAAATAAGCATGCAAAAATTACCAAAATGTGGAAAAATTTACCAAATTTTCTGATGCCAACCAAAGTGGCAGTCAGGTCTGAAAACATCTCAGCAAAATAGAAACAGTAAAACAGTTTCCGTCACTCAGAAAACTATGTTTTTTTCATGTTTTTCTTTCTCATTTGTACTTTTGGTTGTAATTGTGCAAATATGCAAGAGGGTCCTGAAGGGGGGGGGGGGGTCCCAATCCTTTTTCCCACCTGAAATTTTGGCAAAATCACAGT